GGTATTAATTTTGATATCAAACAAAAGTAATTGTTTAATAAAATGTAGAGCAAACATTTGCATATTTAATGACATTTTTCATGCTATTATATGGCATATAATTGTTTGTTGTAATTGTTTTATATTTGTTTATTAATAAACAAAACCAAAAATAAAACAATTATTATTGTTATTATAATTATAACATATAATATGGAAAAACTGGCGATTAATTTGTGGGATTATTTTGCAAAGAAGGATGGCGAGGACTCTATGTTAATTTGGCTAAAAAAATATTTTTTATTTAACCCTACGGAAAAAAGTTGTCTAAAGTGTATCTTGGCCGATTTTTAGTTCAAAGTTAATTTAATGCGATATTCTTTATTATACTAAACATATTTTAAATTAGAATGCAAATAATACACACCAGATAACAATCTGGCCTTGAATTCGGCCATATTGGCCATTATTTTTGGTAAATATAAACCTATTCAAAATTAACATATGATATATGAAATCAATGTAGAATTTAACGGAGAATCAGAATATAGTAATATCACATCAGTAAAATTAAAAATATTTTTGTAATTTGTGTAAAACTACCAAAACTTATTAAAATAAGTTATTACACCACTACCGACAACCCTACCACAACCCGACAATCACACACGACAACACTACCACAACCCCGTCCAGTAGTGTTAGTAAGACAACTAGTTTGTAATGTTAATAATGTTAGTAATGTTAGTAGTGTTAGTAGTGTTAGTTAGTCAACTAGTTAGTAATGTTAGTAAGTCAACTAGGATGTATCCCCTCACCAGTAGCATGTTGAGGAACCATCGGAGCCCTGGTGGCAGACTCCGAATGGACCAAATCAATTTTCGATATAGATCGCTTCATTATTACAAAAAACTGAATTTAACTTAAAAAATTATTATTCAGTATAATTTAAATTTTTCTTCTATTTTAGTACTAATTCAAGAATAAAGTATAGTTTTCAAAAAATTATCAATAAATAACGTCAAAATAACAAAAATTGAAATTATAATTTTTTAATTTTAAAAATATTTTAAAAACTATATGTCCCATGCAAACAATAATGATATATTCTGATTCTACGTTAAAATCTACATAGATCTCATATATCACATGTTAATTTTTAATATGTTTAAAATTCCCGATAAAAGTGGTCACTACCGCCGAACCCGAGGTCGGTGGGCCATATAGATTATATCATTGGACTCCTTATGCAATGTACTTTCATTTTATATTGTCAAATCCCGATTGCCAGCTTAGCCGAATTTCGTCATCGTACTTTATCACATTAAACGTATTGATAGTGCGTTTATCATCAAAACAAAAATAACATTGTTGTTTTTTGTAAATGCTGATTCTAAATAAGGTAAATCAAATAATAGTGTAATTAAAATAATCATAATTTTTATAATTAATTCCCACAATTTATAATAGGATAATGAGTAGTGAAATACATTATACAACTATTAGGTTTGTATTTAATTGCTATTAAATGCGAAAAATCCGATTCTTGTATACTTTTTACCTTATATTTCATTTATTTGTAAAAACATGTTATTATTATTAATATAAAATAAAAATATATTTTTGATATAAAATTCTGGGCAAACATTGAGAGATAGAGGAAGAAATTTTTGGGGCGAAAAATGGATAAATAAATAGTGGATTACATAGTAATAGAGAGATATATAATACAAGTATTGTATGAAATTGTTTGAAATGTTATATTTTTGCCAAACATGTAAGTTATATATAGCCAGTGAACCGTATTATACAAACTTTATGCTCTACTCTATTATAAATTTTATATATCCATCGATAATAGCATATATAGATTATTGCGAAAAAACATAATAATTATATTTTTGTTATAAATATATATTTTATGTGGAAAATAANACATCTCTCTCTCTCTCTCTCTCTCTCTCTCTCTCTCCTTATGCCTAATCTGAGTGCAAATTAAAACTTTTAAAAAAACTAACAAAACTTTTGTCTTAATGAAACGTCTTATTGTCATTTTCCTGTTATGATATGTATTTACACAACAAAAACAAATGTAAAACCTTTTGTCTACACTTTCCATGTCTTATGAAATATGCATTTCTTGTTAATTAATGAACGAGTTTTGAAAAATATATAATGAAAACAAAAAATATTAAATTTCTTTGATTGAAAAAATTGTTGTGAATTAATATTAAAAATTGCTGTGAGAGAAATGTATTTTCAATTCTACCCCGTTATCTCATTGTATGTGTATTTTTCACTATGATAGATATTCTACCATGATAACAAACATAAACAATACATAAGTGGGCACTGGTTAGTGGCGTGACTGATATCGCATGTGAATAACCAGTGATATATAAGTGGCCCGATATGTAGATATCAAACAATTTTAATCTTGTTTTTCATTATTTCAATTCAAATAATATTTCTATTGATTGTATTAAATAGGATGAGAGAGAGAGAGAGAGAGAGAGAGAGAGAGAGAGATGTCGGATATAAGTAGAGATAAATATTTTAAAAACTTGTTTATAAATTAAATACAACCAAAAATTCAAAAACTAAAACAAAACTTCAAATTTCTAATTATCAAAGACTACGGGAATAGAGAGGAGAGAGAGAGAAATGAAATGAAAGAAAGAAAAATAACAATTTCTTCATTTCCTGTGTTATCACAAATGAGAAGACGAGAGGATATCTAAAGGGACGGACAGATTGGGTATTAATGAAAAGATAATTTATACTTTGCATTTAAATTCAATGCAAAAAATACTTAATACATGGGTTTAAATTTGCTATGAAATTAAGGGGAGAGACAGACTGCGAGCGCACACACCGGCAGAGTTTGGATATAATACTAAAGGCATGTCGTTATAAGATATTGGACAGCAATCTTAGAGAGAGAGAGAGAGAGAGAGAGAGAGAGAGAGAGAGAGATAATGATAAAGTGGAGTGTGATTTAGACCTCATTTTCATCACTAAATCATATCTGATATTAAATCATAGTTTTCTGTCATTAACAGCACTTTTGTACATAAATTTTCATTTTAATAAATCGTTTTGGAAATTGAGTTAAATTTGTAACACAAAAACGCAATGAAACGATAGATTTAATAATAAAATCATTGATTTAGAAATTATTATAATCATTACATTATATAATGAATGGGAAAGGGATGGTGGGGTCGCTCAGGGAAGAGAGAGAGAGAGAGAGGGTATTAACGCTAAAAAGAGTTGATATGATGTCTGTCTCTCACTGTATATCTTGTAATTAAATTATGAAATTTAATGTGTTTTTTATGTTACACTCAAAAAGCCATTCAAATTGTAAAAATTGTTTTAAATGTTTTCAACAAAACAACAAAAATATTTAATAAGTATTTTTCAATTTTCAATGCCTTTTCCGGTACTTTCAAAGTACACACCACACGAGTCAAGTGACAGTAAATAAAACAATAAACAAGTTTTTTTCATTTAATAATAAAAATTAAAATTTATTTTTCATTCAAAAAATTAAATTATTATTACAATAACTAGCGATACATTAAAAAAGGCAATAATAATAATCATAATAATAATAATCGTAATCATAATAAATGCGATAATAGATGAGAGAGAAGTGTTTTGGGGAGAGATTTATATATAAATTTAAATATAAATTACAAAAACAGTGTTTTATTCAATTTGAAGTCAACGTCTCCTAAATATATTATACAATAATAATAATAATATCATCAAAAAAAACACGAGTGAAGAAGAGATGTATCACTGATTTAGACACACAATTAGTATAGGGAAGGAGTCAATGAATATGATGTTTATTTTAATATCAAATTAATATTCACTGCAATATATAAAACATATCCCTCTCTCTCTATCTCTCGCCTCTTGTGATGAGATGTATCTCTCATTCACACAGACATTGAGAAAGAGAGAGATCCAGAGAGTGGTAGTGATTGTGCTGATGGTTATGGCGATGGCTGTCATCACATGTACTGTATATCTCCTCCATAAGTGAATGATGGGGTGTCTTAAGTGTCTTAATAGTAATTATGGTGTGTTTTATTTTTCTCGGGGAATCACATCCTTATTTGTCGCACACAATGTCAGCAGTAAATATATTATATATTAAATCAATTCAAAAAACAACATCGTAAAATTGTTCAGTGCGAGAATATTGTGTGTACTTTCCAACTATACATGGGTATATATTTATATAAATATTTGGTCTCTTAATAGATGTCCGCGAAGTTTATAACACAACTTCAATATCACAATTTGGACCTCAATTTAAATATTAGACTCATATATACTTTACACATGTATAGTATGTTTAGTATATTTTAAAAGTCATATACAAATGATTATAATTAAAACTTTTTCGTTTCGCTATTTCTTTCTCGTCTTCTTGTTCTCGTGTATAATATATTTACAACATTTTGTATTATTATTATTATTATCGTTATATTAATAGGAGGTTTGGGGTTAAGAGTGAGAGAAATGTTTTTGTGTTTAATTAAATTTTTGCATTTTTCTTCTCTCACAATATATTTTGTCGCTAAAAGTTTTTTAGTGTTTGTCTTCATCTCATCGTAAAGCAAATCATATTAATTAATAAAATACAAACTATTAATATATATTACACAATGCAAAAAACAACAACATAGGCTATTATTGTTTTCAATGGTTTTTCACCATATAGAAAGTTGTTATTATGGTGGTTTTTCGCATTTTCATTTCCTAATTATAATTGAATTTTTGAATTCATAAATAGATAGCGGGAGAGAATGGGAGAGAGAAAAACAAAACATAGCATTTCTTAATATCAATTATATTAATCACATATATATTTAAATCTGTTATAAATATATTCACACAATAATCATAATAGTAGTCAACAGAGTCTATAATATATCTCCATTAGAATAAAAAAAATTGTTTTTCATTAATTATTACAATATATTTAAACATATGATTAACTATTAAACGGCTTTCATATTATTAACGGCGCGTTTAAACTCCAAACTCGCCCTAACGTCGGGACAGTTCATGGGCTTGAGCTGGTGTTGGCCACCCCTGCCGGGCGGCATAGCGTAGCGGAGTTTCTCCCAAAACCTGCGATCACCCCAATGAATCACCGGCACCGACCTTAAACACATGCGGGTGTCCGGGTCGAGCTCGGTCAAATTGTTTTTGTCGAGCAGCACCACGACGAGTCGGTGATTTTTATTACACTGGGCCTCTTGATGGGCCGCTTTCAGCTCAAACCGACACCACTCGGACTTCAGGAAGTGCTCGCTAAGCAAAATGATTGTCCGATGCGAGCACTCGATGGCTTCGGTGATGGCTTCGGCCACATAGCCGCTCATCGGTAGGTCCCGATAGCGTAGGCACAGCCGATAGGGCGGGTGACCGCACTCGAGCTCTGGGGCCAGGATTTGGGCGATGAACGCCTCGTCTTTCTTGCAGTAGGAGACGAATGAGTCAAATAGTTTTTCCGTCTCCGGCGCGTAACGGCTCCGGGCGAAGAGGCGGACACCGTATTTGCTATATAACCACACTTTAAGCTCTTTGCGATAGACACAGAGTGTGACCATCAGTAGGGCGACGATCACCACAAGACAGAGGCCGCCGAGCAGTAGTAGGAGATAATCGCGCACAAAGGCGTTGGGCAGGAATGACACTATGGGTCCGGTGGGGCCCGACTTGTGGCCGCTGCCGCCGGCCATGAGTTCGGTTGAGTTTGAGTTGTGTCCGCCGGAGCCGACACCGCCGGTGGCGCAGAGAGTGGCGTTAAACTCGGCGATATAGGGGCCGACATATGTCGAGTTGACAAAACACCTGATGTGGTGGGCGTCGTGCACTACCGGCGCGTACACTCGCGACCACTCCTGGAACTCGTCCATGAATTGGCACCGACACGACCACAGATTGTTGGCCAGATATATACCGGTGAGTTTGGTGTTGTGATTGAATGTCCACATCTGGTACTCGACGATGGAGTTGTACTCCAAGTGGAGCACCTGTAGGCTCTTCAAGTGGATGAACGTGTTGTTGTTGATGGCGGAGATGCGGTTGTGGTGGAGGTGCAGCTCTTTCAGATAGTGCAGCGAATCAAACTCGTAGCCGTGAAGGGTGTGCAGCTCATTATGCTCCAGGTGCAGCACTTCCAGATAGACCAGACCGTTGAACGTGCGGTTAGATATCTGATGGATGCGCGAGTGGTTCAGGTATAGCTGTTTCATATTTTTGCGGCCGATGAACGTATGGCTAGTCAGTGTGTAGATATCGTTACCGTCCAGGTATAGTGCGGTCACATCCATGGGTATGCGGGCGGGTATGGCCTGGTATTGGCGGGCGGAACAGTCGACCACGTTGGTGTTCCACGTCTGGTCGTAGTAGCATGTGCAATTCTCGGGGCACATCATTTCGCAATCGCAGGCATCGAAATCGCAACAGTGGCACAGGGCGAAACAGTGCGATTTGTACTTGCACAAAAAGTTGCTAGAGTTGGCCCGGGTGAGTGGCACGGGTAGTTGATCGTGTCGGACAAATGGCAACTGACACATCACTTGCTCCAGGTCCACAATGCGCGGGTACTGCCGGGTGGCCGTGTCCAACGAGTTGATCCGCTGCAACCACTCCATCGTACAGTCGCAGTGGTATGGATTGGACGACACGTAAAACTCCGGCGGCTGTTTGCCCGGCGCTGTGGCGGCGGTGACCGGTTTGAGTCGGAATGCGTTGGTGTCCAGTGTCTGGAGGGAGTTGTTGCGGAGGTCGACAAAAGTGATGTTGTGTTTGGCCACGAATGAGAACTGATGCACGACTCGGATGCGATTGTCGGCCAATGAGATGCGCCGAATGCGGTTGGGTATGGCTGAGCCCGAGATCTCTTTGATCTGATTGTGTGACACATCGAACTCCTCGAGCTGTAGAGCCGACTCGAGCTCAAAGTAGTTCCCAAGCGACTCGATCTCGTTGTGGTGGATGTCCAGTCGGCGCAGCGATCGCGGTATTAGGGCGTAATCGAACCAGGTGATCCGATTGTGGGACACATTGAGATACTCGAGGTTGTTTAGGTTCATAAACAGGCCGTTGATGTCGACCAAGAAGTTATTCTCGACGTTAATGCGCTTGAGTGTCGGGGCGTCGTCGAAAACACCATGGTCTAAACTGCCGATACGGTTCCAGCCGAGATCCAGGTGCTGAAGGGCGGGCAACTCTTTCAACGCACCCCGGGTCAAATTGGTCAGCTCGTTGCCGGCCAGCCGTAGCACTTGCAGGTGTTGATGGCCGCCGCCTCCCGGGCCGCCAAAAGTCGAGTTACGGATCACTTTCAAGCCGTTATCGTTCAGATGGAGGGTCTTCAGCGACCGGAGGGCGCCGATAGCGACGGGCACTTCGGCCAAGAGGTTGCCGTTGAGGTGAAGGCTCTGCAGGTTTGTACAGTTACGGAAGGCATTGTCATCCACTCGATTGATCTCATTCTCGGCCAGCGATAGGTCCGACAGTACGTACAGGCCGTTGAAGGTGAAGGGGCCGACCTGTTTGAGCCGATTCTGTCTCAACACCAGAGTGTGAAGGTTGTAGAGCGAGGCAAACGAGTTGTCACCTATGAGATCGATCTCGTTGTGGTTGAGGTACAGTATCTGCAGTGAGTACTGGTTCTGGAAAGTGCTGGCGTTCACAGCCCGCAGCCTATTGTGGCCCAAGTCTAGCACAACCACACGGATCAGGTCGGCGAACGTCTCCGGGAAGATCCACTCGGAGCCGATCAGGTTGTGGCTCACGTCCAGTATCAACAGTTTGGAGAGACCCGAGAACAGACCCGCCGGCAGTACTGTCAACGAGTTGTTCCTCAGGTGCAGCTCTTTGAGCTCTTCCGACTCGCGAAAAGTACGGCCCGGTATTGTCTGCAACTGATTGTTGGACAGGTCTATGCGGTGCAACTTCTTGAGCGCCGAGAAGCTAAGTTCGGCCAACTCGGAGATCCGGTTGGACTGCAAATACAGCGCCTGCAGGTTCTTCAGCGACGCCACACCCGTCTCCGACAGCACCGATATGTGATTGTGCGACAGATCCAGACGTTGCAACTCTTGGAGGCACAGCTGACCGGTGGCCGGATCTATGAGACCGAACGAACCGAAGTCCGAGAGGCGATTGCGGGTCAGATTGAGTGTCTTAAGGCTGGCCAACGGGCAGAACAGGTCCTGCGGCAAGTGGGCCATGTAGTTGAAGCCCAGGTCGAGCTGTTCCAAGTGCTTCAACGAGGACAACGACTCGTGGGTGAGGGTCAGCGAGTGGGGGGCGCCGGCGCCGGAGCCCCAATCGGAGCCGCTATGGGTGCGAACGGTGAGGTTGCGGAGCTGATGCAGGCCGTGAAGGGCACCGCCGGTCAGTTGCGCGAGTTTGCAGTTTTCAATGTCCAACGACTTGAGGAACCGCAAGTGAGCCAACGAGCCGTTGTCCAGTCGCGACTCGTACGGGCCCTCATCGCACACTACCGCCAACCGTATGGTGTGCTCCGATTGGATTTGGCTGAAGTTGAGGCCCGACGTGGCGCTGATTGTCCGCAACTGGCACTTGAGTGACACGTCAAACGACGACTGCGGGATGTGATTCCAGGTGCAGTCGCCCGGAGCCACGTAACCGACCCCCTGTACCGGTGTGGTGGTGGTCGTGATGGCCAGTAGCGTAATCAATAGGAACCACGTGGTGATAGTCCGGTTGGCACAGTTTGTAGTGTGATTGTGGTGTGCCACCACCAGTGGGCTGCGCCCACAGGCAGCCCGTGGGTAACCAGGGGAGGATAACAAGATATCACTAGTATTTGTTAAATAGTTGTCAATATTTTGATTAGTAGTCCTGCAGTCACTGAAAACACTGCCACCGATCGATGGCATGGCTTTCAAACACTTGTATTATTTTGTTTTTTATGCCCAAATCAATGGTTGAATAATTATGAACACAACCGATGATATCGTTTCCCAAACACTTCTGTGAAATGTGGGATAAGACTACTAGAGTAGTAGTAGTAGTAGTGGTGATGTGATGATAGGCTTTCACTTAATTTTCGCACACATCCAGTGATTGAGTGAAACTATTTTGTAGATCGGATGCCAACTGTGGTGCTGAAGACACACAGACACTGGGATCTTATTGGTGACGATATATATGTGTATAAAAAACTTTTTTTCACTTTCTGTTTCGCTGTGTTTGTGTTTTCACTTCACTTTTTTCTACTGTCGTCTAAATAGTCGTCGACTTTCTCTCTCTCTTGGCGTTGATTGAGAAACGCATCCAAATTATTGTCGCATTTTTTAACAGTAGTCAACAGTGTAGTGTCCGCAACTCCTCTCCCTGCTGTGTATAGTCCGTATAGGAGGGCTAAAGACGCGATTAACATACTATAGACACTTACTTTTTTCTTTTTTGTGTAAGAAATCATATTCTCTTATTGTCTTATATTTGAGTTTAAAATAAAAAATAATGGCACTGAAGAAGAAGCGACTTTTCATTGTATATTCTGGGCTATTGTTAAAACACATACTCTATATATAATGGTATATATTCTGTGTTAAAGAGCACTGAGATGTGAGGGCACACATACACTGGGAATGTCTGATTCACTAATGCATAAAAAGCATAATTAGAAGTTTGAGAACTCTATAGAAATTGTATACTATTTTTTCTGTACAGTATTTCCAGTGTATGTATAATGAAAAACGATAGGGAATTGAATCCCAGAACTCATATTAAAAGATATATAATGAGTGGAGAGGGAGAGAGAGAGAGAGAGAGAGAGAGAGAGAGATCAAGTCTTTTAGCGATGAAATTAAAAAACTTTTCACTCAAAAAACACGACTAAAATTCTTTGAGATTAAATGTATCGCAAAGAGAGAAGAAATGAAATGAAATTACAGGCAATGAATGTATTGAAGAAAGATTTTATTTTCGTCGACAAAATCAATTATTCAAACCGATAAAACACACTGTTAGTTTAGTTTGTGAGCAGCGTTGTGTATAATATTCTGTAAAAGTTTTACAGTAAGTGATTACTTTTCCTCACTTTCTTTTCCGCTCCAAAAATTTCCATAATTTGCATATTAACAAAGACATACATTGAATATACAGTATATATGACACCAGTGTTTTAGTGTAGGCATAAAAATGGGCATAAATTTTTACGACAAGCTTTAAGTCACACCAAAAGCCCCGTAAAAACAAACTTAACTTATTATTCAATAGATAATGCTATTTTGTGTGACAATCAAATCAAACACTCGTCGCAACACATATTATAAGACATTTTCAAAATGTCATTCACTAATGAAAAGGAGTGAAAGAAAAGGCGAGGTTTTTAAAGGTATTAAACGTATACAGTACAACTTCTCCATAAGGAACGGCCAGTTAAACGACAAATATGTTCCTTATAGATAGAGTTCCTCCAAGAGAGGTTCTGTTATAGGTATAGAAACTTCAAAATATGTTTCAAATCCGTTCCTCCAAAGGAGGTGTTCCCTCAAGAGAAGTTCCCCCAAGAGAGGTTGCACTGTATAACAAAGACATACATTAAATATACAGTATATATGACACCAGTGTTTTAGTGTAGGCATAAAAATGGGCATAAATTTTTACGACAAGCTTTAAGTCACACCAAAAGCCCCGTAAAAACAAACTTAACTTATTATTCAATAGATAAATATAATAAAATATAAGCGTATTATCTGTTGTTCATCTATTGAGGGAATGGTAGGACTGGTTGGCGATGGTTGGGAAGGCATGGGTGAGGGGGAAGGGAAGGGTAGGGGATAGGGATATAAACACCTAAAAAGGTATAGCACTTTGGGAACTGGTGTTGCAATTACTTTATGGGTTCGTTACTTCCATAAGACAAGGCATTTATACTACTGGATGTGTTCAACGACTGAGCGCTCAGTTAGCCATTGATTTCATACGTTTAATACCAATGAAAGAGTGCTTTGATTAGAGAAGTAGAAGAGAAGCGAAAGAGTAGTGTCTGTAATGAGAGGGGAATTCCGTACGCATCCGAGCGTATTGTCTCTCTATCTCAGCTCCGGTAGTCTCGTAGATATATACACACATTCAGGCGACACATCCAGAGAGAGAGAGAGATAAGACATTTAAAATCATATTGTAATTAAAAAACAACAGATGAGACAAAACCTGTTATTTAAATATATGGAGAGAGAGAGAGAGAGAGAGAGAGAGAGAAAATCAATTTATTATGTTGTCATCAGTGAGTGTAGGAAAGTATGTGATAGAGAGATGAGAGAGACTGAGAGAGGGAGAGGGTATGGGATCAAAAAGAGAGACAGAATTGTGAGCTCTTTACTCCCCACTAACTCCAGCATCCAATCCCTCACTCAATGGAAACACATTAGGCATCACAAAAAAAATAAAGTTATAGTAATAGTAAGACATAACAAATTTGTTACAAAATATCGACACATACTGTATAAAAACAGTTTCAACACAAATGCCATTTGCAAATGCAATGCATATATTATCGGATCAATAGTCGGTTATTATAAAATGCAAAAATATTTTTACACCAGTTTTTTTTACTGTGCATATATCGATATATAATTAATATCCACCTCGATATATTAGGCACCGCACCTATTTCTCTGCCCTCATCAACACATAATTACATTAAAACACATGTAATTAAATAGTGATCTAACGTTAGGCACACACAGAAAAGTCCTTCATTATAAATAACTGGTGAGACAAGTGTTTGGGTTGTGTTTATAATACCAATCGTTTTACACAAGAAATAACTTATTAATTGATATATCAATTCAAGTGAAATGACAATTCAGATGAAACTATTTTCAAATAGTTATTCACACAAACATAAGATGTATTTATTACAAATTGCACGTAAACATGAGCTCATCATGCTCATAGGTATCATAAATATCCATGGACATATTTTTGCATACAATAGTCAATTGCTCAGTCATATAAAAGCATAAATATTATACACAATATACAAAATTCAAGGCATAAAATCCTATTCACATTTAATTATGGCATAAATGCAACACAAATATAAGTTTTGAAAGTCTTACTAAACTTATAGCACTTGAGAAAAAGCATAAATATAAATATACTAAACAACACACACTACTGAGGGCTGACTGACTGACTGACAAAAAACCTAACCGTCCATACGATGTGTGCATTAGATATGCAATGAATCGCTTGACTGGTTAGGAGAGAGAGAGAGAGAGAGAGAGAGAGAGAGAGAGAGAGAAGCTAATGGCAAAGAATCGGTAAATCATTTGCCATTTAAAACATACGGTATTTTGCAATCACCTCTCGCTCTCTCGCATACATTTGTTGCCCAAATTATATCTGATCTAAGATTTTTGTGGGCCTTTAAAATGATGGCACAGGTATTATTTCTATTAGGGCGTCGGCCCCTAATTGCCCGGTGCTATCCGAATGTGTGTGAGTGTCAGTGAGTGTGAAAATTTTATATAATTTTAAAAAATTCAATGAGGGGTAAAAAAAGTAATTTTTTGAATACCTCTCTCACAACATGTAATCTATTAAAAGTGGATATATTTTGTGCTTAAATTGAAACGAATTTAATTTCTTTCTGTACACTATTTTCAATGACAAATCTCATGTGTTGTCTATAATTAATGGGTTCGTTAGCAGTGAATGGCAAATATATGGTTCACTATTTAAGCGGTTCATTATATACGGTATTTATGAACACCAAACATAATATGTATTATGTAGATTATCTTACAATTACTTCCTATTTTGTTAATATTAATAAAAAATACATATTTTTATTGTTTAAATATTGTGTTGTTATCTCTGTTTTATCGCATATCATAGCGTATAATAAAAAGCTTAAAGTAATAAATATATTATAGTTATTATTAATATTTTTTGTTCAAAAATTTAGTGTAAAATATGTAACAAAAATAAACAATAAAACCAACAAATTGTTTCGTGTTTGACGTTTTGAAAGTTTTTTTACAAAACATAATTAATTAACACAATTATTAAAACAAAAGTCAAACATAAATTTCTTGTTTTGTATTATAAGAGAAATACAAAGAAAATTATAATAAATTTCAACGAATAATACGATAAATAAAATACAAGACATTTAAAATCATATTGTAATTAAAAAACAACAGATGAGAGACAAAACCTGTTATTTAAATATACGGGGAGAGAGAGAGAGAGAGAGAGAGAGAGAGAGAGAAATAATAGCTAATCAAAAACTATTTGTTATTGAAAAATAGGGTTAAGAATTAAAACCAAGAAAAAATACTATTTATATGTATATATAGTTAAAGAAAAAATCAAAATAGTAAAACAATACACAAAACATTTCACAACCAAAACGCTATGGTATTCAATAAATGGGCAAATATTTTGTATTACATTTGAATACAATATATAAAGTGATAATAAAATCGCTGGTAATGTAATGTAACGGCAAAACGAGAAATCAAAAATAAAAATTATGATTATAAAACAAATCATAATATTTTACATCAAGTTTTTTGTTTGTAAGATATGTATGGGATATAAGGAACTGATGGCAAAATAACACATACATGTGCTGTATATACAGGCCATCAAAAAAAGGTATAGGGAAAGACCTCGAATAGATTAGCCCCTGGAGGGCAATCAAAATAATAATAAATAAAATAAATTAATTTATTTTAATATTAAGCACAACAGGCAGAGAGAGAGAGAGAGAGAGAGAGAGAGAACTCGACGGTAAAAGTAAGAGATTTAGACTAAAGATATATTTGTATCAGAATAAATATAAGACGACTAAATATCTTATATTCAATGATATTATCCA